CTCTCTCTCTCTCTCTCTCTCTCTCTCTCTCTCTCTCTCTCTCTCTCTCTCTCTCTCTCTCTCTCTCTCTCTCTCTCTCTCTCTCTCTCCATGATGTCTTCTAATGTTCCCAATGCATATTATAAAGATTCGCAGATGTAAGGCATGTCAAAACTAGACCTGAAGTAAGTTGTGCATTATATAATGGTTGTTTTCTCTTTTATTCAGATGCAGAAACGTAGCATTGCCACAACATCATAACAACACACGAGTTTGAGGATGCATTAGGCGAACAAGAAAAGCACTAGCAGACATATCGCAGGGTGGACCATAAAAAAAAAAAAACAGACAATATTTGCATGTTAGAAAAACTAGTGAGGACATACACTCCTTGAACTTATCGATTCGTAAACAACTGAAGTACCGGTGTCGAGTGCATCGGTCCTGCACCACACAGGGCAGCACGGGACCTTCCCGGCCGCGTCACGCAGGAGTCGTTTTAAATCCTTGTAGCGAATACATAACGGAGCTTCAGCAACTTGAAGCCGCTCCGGCCGAGTGCGCCAGCCATACCTCTCGCGAGCCCCTACGACAGGATAGGGCCTATGCGAGGCACGACTTACCTCCACCTTACAGGAGTTGTCACCTCCCTTCGGTGGGCGTATCCCCGCCGAGCTGCCAGTCCACAGTACGAAAGTTAATCAGGTGCAGTCCCAGAGGTGGACCAGTCGAGGGCGTTTCTCGTTCGCTGTAACATAGGGGGTACGCACGGTATTACGCCTCTATCGAACCCACACACGAACCGGCATCTTGGGGGGCTGAGGTCCCAAGCGCGACTCGTCGCCGGTCGACTAGGACGCATCCCACACGCCACACGCACACCACTATAAAGACTATAAAAAATAAAAACACACACACATATACATATACATATATAGAACGACACTAAACAAACAATGCGACAATACTCCTAGTCCCTTAGTAACCATCACATAACTCTCCGATGCGGAAATCGGATGAGCGTCGCGTGCGAGACTTAGTATAAAGTCGCGCGGACGCAGAGCTAACTCATATCGACTTGCTATGCTAGCGTACGCAAGCAGTCGCAATGATGGCGTACTATGTCGTACCCATACTCATGCGGTCCTCGTTAATCTCGAGATCTTGAAGTTTTAAGATCGTGTGCGCATCTGGACCGTCGGGCGGCCCGACGGTCCAGATCGACCCATGATCTTAAGATCGCGTGAACATCCGGGCTATCGGCAGACCCGACGGTCCGGATCGCCACGCGATCATAAGATCGCGCCGAACAGGCAGCCCCAACGACCTTGCTAAGCAACGGCTCTGTCGAGCGACGGCGCTACTGAGCGACGGCGCTACCGACCTACCGACCTAACGTTACACTACTGATACGCTACGCTATACTACTGATTGACTTACCGTGAGGGCACGAGTGCGCAACCCGTAGTTCGTTTGTTGCTGTGGTTCGGGAAGGGTAAGGTAGTGATTGTGTTGTATGTATATTTTGTTGTGTTCGCTATACACAACTCGAAGAGAGTGTGTGGGGTCGCGGTTGGTGCTTTATTCACGATGTTCATGGGATGCTTGACCCAGTTTGCAGCAGGTGGCACTCCCTATCAATAGACAAGAGAATGTGTGTGCGTGTGTATGTGAGTGTGAGTGTGTGTGTATGTGCGTGTGTGTGTGTGTGTGTGTGTGTGTGTGTG